ATTTGTCAAGATTTGTTATTTTTGTATATTATGCTTTATAGAGAGACCCCACCACTGGACAACCTGCCCCCCCAGATCAGGTTTGGGAGATAACACATACTAGAAAGACTGCAGATGGCCAGTTAGAGTGGGTGGATCCGCGATCTGAAGAGATTCATGTATGTATAATATTTGTCCTTTATATTTAATTAAATAATTATATTTTTTTCATTAATGTAATTTGTAATTTGTAACTATAGGATCCCATGCATGAGCTCGTTCAGCAGCAATCCTTAGAGAGTGATGCTCGAATGACCTCTAATGAGATATTGACAGCTGTTTTTGGTGAGAGGTCAAGATATGTTAGAGGAAAAGGTTATGGAGCAGAGCCTCAGAGGAAGAGACTTCACACTCAATCTAGTGATTCACTTGAGAACGTACGCACCCAATTGTATGAAGAGTTTGAAAGAAGATTTCAAGAGGAGCGAGAAAAGATGGAAGCAAATCTTGCTGCAGAGCGAGAGAAGATGGAAGCAGAACATGCAGCAGAGCGAGAAAAGATGGAAGCAGGATGTGCTGCAGAGCGAGCAAAGATGGAAGTAGAGCGTACGCAACTTGAACAAAGGATGGAGCAGTTGATGGAACAGAGAATACAAGCTCAGTTCACTGCTTTTATGCAAAAGATGCAGTTAAATGCTCCTGCAGATACCCCTACTTCTAGCGTCCCTAGTATTGATCCCTCTACGTAATTTTTCTTTTGTATTATGTAATTTATCTTTTAATTGAACAATTTTTTTTTCAGTTAGAGACATAAAGAACACTTTGATGGTTATAAATCTTATTATTTAATATACTATATTTGTGTGTTAATTACTTTATTTTTATTAAACCTTTTAATAATATTTATCAGCAATATAAAATTTTTTTTTTGCATAATTAATATATTATAAAAATAATTAAAATGACAATCAGCGGCGACATATGTCGCCGCTGAAGCTTGATTCGGCGGCGACTTTTTTTGTCACCGCTGAAGACCGTTTCAGTGGCGACAACAAAGTCGCCGCCGAATCAAGCTTTAACAGCAACCACAATGTCGCCACTGAAGCAACCTTCAGTAGCGACAACAATGTCGCCGCCGAAGCAAGCTTCCGCGGCGACATTAGTCGCCGCCGATTCTCATGTTTTAGTGGCGATGTTTCTGATTGGCAAACTCATCAGCTTTCAGCGGCGACTTTTTGTCGCCGCTGAATGTCTAGTTTTAGCGGCGACTTTTTTTGTCGCCGCTGATAAGTTTCAGCCACGGTCGCTACGGCAACGACTTGGTGGCGACAAAATGTCACTGCTGAAGCTTTTCAGCGGCGACTTTTGAACTTTCAGTGGCGACAAATAAATTTTTTGTAGTGTTTAGAATATCTCAAAAGATTATAAAAAGCTAGCTAATACCCGATCTAATACTTCTTCTACTTGCACCTGCAAGCACGGAAATCTCTAAACGACGTGTATTTTGTATTAAAACTGGAAGAACTTGTAACGAGATTATGAGTTTACGTAGAGCCGTGTCCTTTAAGCTAAGCATCCTAAAATCACTCCCATTTTGTTATACTATCTCTGCTACTTAATATAAGAACTAGTTTGACATTCAATTTGGTCATAAATATAAGATCTTAATTCGTTTTATTTTTCATTTTTTTTAAGATAGTCCTTATAATAGTTATACATGTTAGTTTTATCATGATTAACAAATGTATTTTAGGAAAAATAACACTTTTTTATTATAAATAACTAATTTAACTAATTTTCTTAATCTATTTAAATTAGTCAATAACTCTTATATTAAAGACCGTAGGTAGTATTAATTATAATTATAAAACTTTATATTCAATTTTGTTTTTTTAAAAAAACATATACAAATGAATCTCCATAAATAGATCTGCCTTGTGTTATCTCCAATCTATTTTCCATCCACCCATTTTGATAACAGTTTGTTAAATCACTCATTTTCAAATTCTTTGGGATCAAAATACTCTTATATATAACATAAATATTGGGTAACCATCTTTCAAAAAACTTGTATTATAACATTAATTTTATAATTCAAATTTTCAAATATATATTGATCTAAATTTTAAAATTATTTATTTAATAATCTTCTAGACACGTATATTGGCTTCTAGCTTATCATATTTTTACATGAGGGAAGTTTGGAAGCTAGGAAGGAAAAATCATCACTCAGGGAGATCGGTTAAGGATTAATTAAAGGGATTGCTATAATGGCCATTTGATTACTGAAAGTACAAATACCCAGAATCTTAGGTATATAATACTCGTGTTTAAAGAGAAATTGGCAACAAATTTAACACCCAAGATCAGTGATAGTGATGGGGATCAAGTGTTTAATGAAGATTTTGAAGAAATTTTAGGAATTTTAGGTTATAAGATTATATTAGTAATCATATAATATTATTTTAATATAAACTTTAATTAATGAAATATAATTTAGAATCTTTTAATTGTTATAACAGAGTCAGAAATTAGATTAATTAAACTATAGGTTGTAATTTTATTTTTTAACAGATCAAATAGACGATAAGTGCGTTTTACTCTAATATTAAAATATGCATTAAAATATAGCTTATGAAATGACACTAATTAATTATAGTGTGACTTCAAAATTTATTCAAGCACTTCTGTATGAACAAATGAATTTTTTGCCGTATTAACGGTTGTCTAAATTATGAACAATAATGTTCACTATAGTACAAGGTAATTTCCTTAATTAAAATTTTAAACATATACTACCTCCAGTCCTTAATATAAGAACTAATTTACTAATTTGAGTATATTAAGAAAACTAGTAAAATTAGTTATTTATAATAAATAGGTGCTGTCTTTCCTAAAATATCTTTATCAATTAAATGTATTGGTTAGAATTACCATCATTACAAGGACTATCTTGAAAAAAATAGATAAATATAATAGAAAAAATAGATTGAGATTTTATATTTAGGACTAAAATAAAAATTAAATAAAATTTTATATTAAGAACAAGAGCTAATACTTAATTAGCAAGAATAGTAACTTAATTATTATTAAAAAAAAGAAGATAAGATATAGTCAAAGGTGCATGTCATATGGGCATACGGCTGACCTGCTCCGCTGGATGAATCTGTCAAGCGGTCAAATTGGGTTCATATAATATTAAAATAAAATGATGAGAGGGTTTCCTGCTTATGCTTCCTATGTTCCCAATTCATCATATCAACTTCCCGTTTAGAATCACTTTTCAGCACATTTGTTGTAAGTGGAGACAAAACTAATCTTACATATTTATCTCGTATTTTATAAATTATTATTAAAAATTATTTATAAACTATTTGAAACAGGTTAAATTGAAAAGGATTAAGTTTTACTAACCCTAAAACGGGTTTAAGTTGTTATAACAATGGAAGAGAAAAAGGGATTAATGCTTACACATAGCCAGGGTTGTGTGCGTGTGTCTAACCTCTTGAATATTCTCCTATTTTATGATTTGTTAAGAGAAGACTGTTTAGTAAGTATAGGCTGAATTCCTTTAACTATACAAACTTATTAATTCCTCTATGCTTCGTAAAATGGATAGTAAATAAGTGAATCATCATCTGATTTTACGTGACTGGTCTACAAATTTTTAAATATGATGACTATGAATTGGATTGGTTTAAAAAAAAAAAAAGCAGTGAATAGAAGAGTAAAAACTAGCACTGTTGTGTTTGTTTCAAACATAACAAAATACTAAAAATATCAAAATTAAAATTCAAACCTCAACAAGTAAGACTCCCGGACAATGATGTCACTTGAAAAAGCCTTACCACAGGAGCTCTACAAAGGAACTAAAATCAAGCAATTTTGATACAAGCTCTTAACTTTTTAAGCTATTCCAAACACATTTAACCCTTAAAAACAGCTTGAACGCCACTTAAACATGGCTCCAAACAAGCATAGTGTCATTAAACTTGCGACTTGACTTTTTAAGTTTATTGTTTTTATTTTTTCAACTTATAAAATTATATCAGCTCTCTCTTAAACTCGTAAAAGTTGTAAACTCAATTGAACTTACGAGTTCACTCATCGAATTAATCGTTTTTACGTTTTCAGTTTACAAAATCATGCCAACTCACTCTTAAACTCGTGTTAAACTTTCCGATTTAGTTATATTTAATGACTTTGTATATGAACTTCATAGAAATTTCTTTATTGAATATGATAAATTATAATTGTTGATGGGTTAAATTTCAATTATTTGGATTTAAAATATATTTAAATGAAATTGTTGTCACTTTTTATATTTTAATTATTTAATTATATACTTTTAATATTTATTTATAAAATAAATTTTTATGAGTTTACGATTCGAGTTTACATCCCTCTCACAGATTTGTTTTAATTTGCAAGTTTGACAATCTTGGTGAGAAAAACCATAAATCAAAAAGGAATAATTTTCAAGAGAAAATGTAATTCGTTGATACTAATGAGTCCATGTTTAAAACAGAGAACATATATTCAGATTAAAAAAATATAACTGGCAAAAGGAGATTTAAAAAAAATATAAATTTACTCCTCAACAGTGTCGAAAATATAATTATGTTTAAAAGCGAACAATAACGAATTTTTTATAAATATCAATCAATTTTTATTAATTGGAAAATACAATTCCATTAGCGGGCCCCTTTCAAGCGAGATAATTGCGATTTGCGAATACGTGTTCAAGGTCTGAACCATTAACATACATGCAAGAACGGTTCAACTCGTAAGAAAGCAAGTGGTGGAACAACAATAGTTGAATGAAGACATCAAGATCAAAGATGAATTTATACGATCTTTCTTCTTTAACTCCTAAAAATAAAGGTGTACATGTCCTAATTAGTAAGATGACTATAATACAACAAAGAATAAAATAATTTTGCTAAAAGAAGTAAAAGAATAAAATAATGTTTTTATCCAATAGGATAAGGTTGTATCGGAAAAAGGGGGAAAAAAATTAGTCTTCTTAGATCAGCTTGCTTGCAAATTCATCCATGGCCATTCCTTCCGACTCATAGGCAACAAATTTTGAAGCAACTTGTCTGAGCTGCGAAACGCTTCTTCCCAATTTCATGGCCACCTTCATTTCAAAAACCTCGCCGTTCTCTCTTTTCTCGCAGTCTTTCTCTTCAAGCGTTGCTTCTATGGTTTCTTGCAGCAACTTGAAGAATCCTCCGCAGTTTCTGTACATTTCAAACACCATCCCCACTTGGCCTCCATGTTCCAAAGAATTCACAGAAGCCGCCATCGACCCTGCCATGGCGGCCGCAATGCCTGGCCAAGACGAACCATGGCTGGCTAATGCAGAACCTAAAGCTGCAATCCCAGTGAGCAAGGGACCTGATGTGGCTAAGGTTTTGTTGATCTTGAGAGCCAAGTTTCCTAGTCTGTCATAGTCCTCCATGTCTTTTCTCTTCATCACTTCAAGAAGCTGCCACATCTCCATTTCCAGTTCTGGAGTCCATCCATTATTGGTTTTCTTGTGGGATCTGGCGATTTGCTTTTGGAAGTCATTCGTCTTCTTACTTTTAGGCCACCAAACAGCAGGCTCGAATTTAGAAGGGAATTTCTCAAGCATGGCTCCCAAGAGAGGAAGTGGGTAAGCCTTGTCAAGTGCCAAAACCTTCTCCATTGCACTTTGGACATCTTCCTCAGTTGGATTTCCAATGGCTAATGTGGTTTGGATTTCCTTCTGAAGCCGCTTGAACAACTTAGTCGCATTTCGTTGTTCCTCGGTGAGTTGTGAGGGCTGAATCCTGTTCATGATGAGAAGCATCCCTGTGGCGGCTGTGAACAAAAGAGTGGAAGATAATCTAAATGCAGTATTGTCAATGGCAGTGTTGAGCCCAACCATGGTTGTGGCAGAAAGGGTCATCATATTCACGGAGTTCAAAAGAAGAGAGTTCCAGTTGTTTCGTTGCTCTCCCATGTTGTTGTGCATTTCGATTCTGTCGGAAACAGCTTCTAAGATTGCATATAATTGAATGGTAGCCTTGGATTTATTGGAAGAAGAGCAGGAATAGTCGTCGTCATCACGTATTTCTGTGGAGGTGACATCAAGCTGTGATGGGATTATTGTGCCTGTTGATCTCTTCAATTCCTTAACCAGCTTTGTAGTAGTAGTTGGGGATACTTTTGGAAGCGGGAAACGAACTCGTGGGAGCTTAGGGACATTAATGGCGGCGTTGACTTTCTTGATAGACGAAGAAGAAGAAGAACAAAATGACGACGCAGAAATTTGTAAAGAAGACATTTAGTTTGGAAGAAACGGTATGCCGTTTGAGTGATGAGTTGCAGAGGGAGGAAGAAATATGGTTTTGAGTTTCGGAATGAGGATGGGGATGGATGAAGTGGGCTAGGGGGATCGATGATATTTATATATATGAAGGCAAGGAAGAAAATATTGACCATTGACTCGTCATGGGTTGAATAATATGAATGGTTGGAGGACCACGCCTTAGTATATATCTGACCTGTTCTTTAATTAATTACCAAATTCGCATTTAGCTTATAATTTTCAATTTAGGAATTCTGATGGTCTAAGTTTTGAGTCCTGATCTGCTCCAACATTACAAGGCATGCTTCTTCATTGTTTCCGTATAAGTTGCGATGTTGAAAATTTTTTGTTAGAATTTAAATATTGGAAATATTAATAGTATATCTTTTTAGAAACTCTAAAAATATTAACTATTCATTGCATTTGTAAAAGATATACAGCTTGTTCTTCTTCTTTGTCTTTTTCCCTTCTTTTAGAATAGAAATCCTTAAAAGTAAACATACAAGCATGAGACTCGATAACGCAAATAAATTAGAAAAATAATACAAATAAAACATCTAGTCTAAGATAAGTCATATCAATCAAATTTTACCATTATTCATTCGTAAATAATCACTGTGTTACTCCAAAATTTATACAATATTTGCTGACTGATTTCAAGAAATTCAAAAGTTTCTCCTTTTTATGCTTTCCAAAACTTGTCACTTCGTAATGTAATGTGTAAACTCCTACTTTATCGCTTATGAGTAACCATATTTTTATGGTCATAAGAAAATGATTTTTATATATTTTTAAAAAAATACGTTTGCACAAAAAAGGACTCAAGTTATGTATGCTTGACATGACAAGTTATATTTGATAAGGGAAAACATTCTCAAGGGAGTGAGAAATAAAATTAAAAAAAATGAAATGAAATGAAATGGGAACAATTTGACACGTAAAAGTTAAAAAAAAAAAAAACAGAGAAAGAAAAAGAGAATTTTTATCTACCGCCTCATTAGAGACCATGGAGAATGAATTCGAAGGGCACGTTTGATCAGTGGAATACTTTTATTAAAATGGGAATAGTTTGATAGGAAATTAGGAATGAGGTGATTATATGTAGTAGTGTCATGAAAAAAATAAAAATGCATACTCAATCAGATAATGACGACCTCATAGTAAAATTTTAGGAATATTAAAATTTTAGGAATATTTTAAAAATTTTGTATTGACATTTTAATTATTTATAAAATTTTAGGAAGAATTAGGGAGAAGGACCAATAAAAAAATAATATTTATTATAAAGGATCTTAAAAGTTGTAATTATTTAGATTGGCTGAATACTAAAATATAAAACTAAAAATACGAAATTGCCTCTCACCCAATGTTCCCTCTTCCGTCCTCGCCCCTCTAGTTACCATTTCCATGGACTGCAAAAAAGGCAGAGAGAAAGAGGGAGGGAGGAACAGTTTGCCCGTAACCATGAGATATCTCAGTTGTGGCTGGAGAAAATATAAAACTTTGGTCATTCCTTGTGCTGCTGCGGTACGATTGAAGATAGTACTCATACAAACCCCCAGGAAGAGTTATATATATATATATATATATATATATATATAAAAGCTTTTTATTTACAAACGAGCTATTTTTTCTAAGAACCCAAGTTGTTTATATTAACAGTATTTATTATTCTTGCTATTTACATCTTTTTATTAGAAAATGGGATGTCTAATTTGTATGACTTTGTTACTTCAATTTAACGTTATAATAATGAAAGCATAGAAGGCACTTTTTTCTACAGCCTAGAATTATATGATTGTGACTTTACTTAGGATTTGTTTGGATATATATATACACATATATATTAGTGAGAATAGTAATTATATTGATTAAAATAATTAGATTTGTCCAAGGGAGATTGGGTCACATATAAAGCTGAACTGCTCCATTTAGGACAAATCGGATGGGCTAATTTTCTTTGCGTGCTTGGTCAACCAACCACAAATAACAGCCGTTGCACAAGTCAGCTGATTGATTCACTTTCTTTTATTTGAATGGTTCCAATTAGACAGAGTAAGCTAGTAAAAAAAAATGAGATAGAGTAAGATTTAATTTCTGAATTATCAGATTTCAATTTGATGAATAGCTATGTCAAACGATAAAATCAAATGAGGATTTAAAAAAGCAGTAAGCAGTGACGTAAAAGTAGAGCAATATTAGTATTATCATTTTTCCTTGTATATTCTCTATGGTCTTAAATACCATAATAATAACGAAATTCGTTGGTAAATTTTTTTTTTTAAAATTGATTAAAAATAGTAAATGTGTAAGAAAAAATATAGTATAAATTTGTTCTGAAATTGTCAGCCACCCAGAATTTTTTTTGTGTGAAGTGCCTCGAAAGTTAAGAAATGTTGCCTCTTATTATTAAAAAATTAATTATGTTAAAATAGTAATATTAATTGTTATTATTTTAAAAACAATACCTTTAGAGAGAGAGAAAGAATGTGAGAGAGAGAGAATGATAAGTAGGAGAAGAAAGAACACGATAATTAATGCAATGACACAACATGTAATTAATGGGAATAAAATTGAAAAAAATTGGTTGAAAGTTCGGGCACCTTTTAAATTTTTCTTATAAGGGCCTGTTTGGGTGCTCCAAAACCATGGTTTCAGAAGCACTTTTCTGCAAAACGAGGTAACATCCTCCACATATTTACTTCGTAATCCGTAAAAGCACTTCTGAGACCATGGTTTGGCTTCTATCCAAACACTCCCTAAATAGAATCATGTTTGTGTCAAAAATTATATTTTATACTGTAAAATAAATATTATATTTAGAATTAGAAGCAGCATATAAAACAAAACAAGAAACAAAAAACCAGATGGAATATTAAACCAATTGAGATAGTGATTTAAGAGTCAATCAGTCGGATTAGGGTCAACTCGAAGTCAAACAGGTCATATTAAAATAATATAATTTTTTGAGTGAAATAAAATAATAAAATTTAATTAAAAATAAAAAAATACAATAACATTAATAATCAATAATAACAAAATACAACAATATTAATAATTACTAATAACAAAATACAAAGAAATATAACAATAGTTTGATTTTAACAATAACAAAGTATAACAATATTAAGAATTTTGATTTTTACAGTTAATCAATAATTAAATTAATAATCATTACATCATTAAAATTTATTTAAATATATAATAACTGAAATATTAAGAACTGAATAAGAAAAAATATAATTAATATTAATATACATTGGTTTGATCAGTTCGATACCATTTCAACTCTTAACTAGTTCAACACCCAAAACAAATCGAACCATTGAGTAATTCACTGATTTTTTGGTTTAAACGGCTAATATGATTTGGTTTTTTTCCCCCTTGATATAAGATCATGTAAGGAAATATTTGGATGGATAAGGAAAACACATAGCAAAAGAACTAGACGATTTTTACAATGACAATAATACCTATATCGAATTCTTGTCCCACGAAAATCAAATTTAAATTAAAACCAAGACAATTCGAAATGAAAAGTTAAAATAAAATTATTGTTTGTGTGCTGGCCAAGGTTTTTTTGCATTTTCAACTCTAAGATGGCACGCGGCAGTTGAATAGTAGTGGGCTTCGACGTAGTGACCGGGCTGGCACAAAATCAAATCAACGTAGTTTTTTTTTTTACCAGCCAAATCAACATAGTTTTATGAGGTTGTGACGTAGCCAAAAAAATGATGAACCAAAATGGAAGGCGAACGAGTCATATTTGGAAAATGTTGACTTTTGACGCTTTCAAGACCGCAAAGAATATTATGTCATTGCCAACCACCAATAGCCTCCAACTAGCACATTAACGACTTCCAACTATTCTCAACCGCCACTATTATTGTGTTTAAATTCTAAATCAGAAATAACTACAAAAATGTATTTTCATTTGTTTTTTAAATATTATGAATTGTTATTAAATTGTAATAAATAAGATTGATTTGAAAATTTGAAATTTAAAGATTTTTTTTGGTAATTTTCCCATTAATTTCCCCCAAGTTTTTAGATGTAATTTTCAAAACAAATTATTCCAATTAAATTTTTGTATATTACCCCTCCAAACTTGTTGAAAAAAATAACTTGAGAGAATTACTTTAAGGGGGAAAAAAAAGAATCAAACACGCCCTTCTTCTTACTTTTTGTTGCTGCAGAGCACTTGTAGTTTAACGAGCGGAACCTAAATATAATAACTAGTGTGAAGGTTGCTTTTGTTATGAATGTAAGATTTTAATCTTCTTTATCTTTTAAATTTCTAATTTTCTTTCTAATAAACTACTCCTATGAACATAATATAACGGCGGTTTTGTGAATGGGTTCATTTCTAAGGTGTATTTTATTTTTATTTTTTCTATTGCCTGTGTATTTTATTTTTAAGGAAACATGCAAATATTTTTTTCTATAAATAATTAATATAATTAATTTTAGTAATTTCAGTAAATTAGTTATCTAACTCTTACCTACCTAACATAGCATTGGAGGGAGTATATAAAATTAAAAAAATTAGTTAAAGTTAATTAAATGTCCTAAATTTTTAGGATTTTTCAAATTTATCCTCATGAAAAAGGGGAGATTATTAGAGAACAAAACACAAACTACTCCTCCAGTCCTAAATATGAGACCTTTATACATATTAGTATATAAGGGTCTTATATTTAGGACTGAAGGAGTATTATTTAAGCCAAAAATAGAGGAGACAAATAAATATTTTGAAATGTTATATATATATATATATATGGAGGTAGATACATAGATACATCAGAGATATAGTTTATTATACTGGCAAACAATGTCACATTTGCAGAGGCGTTTTTGTTGATGAAGGTCAGTGCAAGTGCAGTGTTGTGGCATGGCGCTTGCCCCATACTGTGCTAGGAATTCAAGTGCACAGCCGTAGCCTCCTTTGGTCCCTCCACACGTTCCATCCAAAGTCA